GAAAAGTTTGGGCTTATACACTAAAAACTAAAGATCAAGTTCTAGATGTGTTTAAGATTTTTCATGCCAAGGTTGAAAGAGAAACAGGTAGACAGTTGAAATGTGTTCGCTCGGATAATGGTGGTGAATATATTGGACCATTTGATCAGTATTGCACAAATCATGGTATCAGGCATGAAAAGACAGTTAAAAAGACACCTCAACAGAACGGGGTTGCAGAGAGAATGAATCGCACCATTCTTGAGAGAGTCAGATGTTTGCTCTCACATTCTAAATTGCCAAGATCCTTTTGGGGTGAGGCAATGAGGACCGCAGTTGATCTTATCAATTTGTCTCCTTCAGTTCCGTTGAATGGTGATGTGCCAGAGAAAGTTTGGACAGGGAAGGAAGTCTCCTATGATCACTTGAGGGTATTCGGCTGCAAAGCTTTTGTTCATATTCCAAAAGATGAAAGGTCCAAGCTTGATCCAAAAGCAAAGCAATGCATATTTCTTGGCTACGGGCATGAAGAATTTGGATACAGGTTGTATGATACAGTTGACAAGAAAGTTGTCAGAAGCCAAGATGTTGTTTTCTTGGAAGATCAGACTATTGAAGACATCGACAAGCTTGAGTCAGTTGAGTCTAGTACTGATGATCTTGTTGATTTAGATCCTCTCAATCCCTCTGCTATTCATGATATTGATGAGGAAGTGCAAACACCTCATGATGATGCAGCAGAAGATGATGTTGAGCCAGAGATTGAGGGGGAGCAACCACCCCAAGAGCCACTACCACAGACACCGTTAAGGAGATCTACTAGAGAAAAACAGTCATCCAGAAAATATTCTTCAAATGAGTATGTGATGATATCAGATCAGGGGGAGCCAGGGACTTATCAAGAAGTCTTGAAGCATGAGAACAAAACTGAATGGTTCAAGACAATGAAAGAGGAAATGAAGTCTTTGCATGAGAATCACACCTATGATTTGGTGAAGCCGCCTAAAGGGAAGAAAATTTTGAAAAATAAATGGGTCTTCAGACGAAAGAATGATGGGAACAGTTCTCAACCGAGATTCAAGGCACGACTTGTCGTGAAAGGTTTTGATCAGAGAAAGGGAGTTGATTTTGATGAGATCTTCTCACCAGTTGTGAAAATGTCCTCCATTCGAACTGTGCTTGGTATAGCTGCGAGTATGAATTTAGAAGTTGAGCAGCTTGATGTGAAGACCGCATTTTTGCATGGTGACTTAGAAGAGGAAATTTATATGGAGCAACCTGAGGGCTTCAAAGATAAGGGTAATGATCAGTTAGTTTGCAAATTGAAGAAGAGTTTGTATGGATTGAAGCAAGCACCGAGGCAGTGGTACAGAAAATTCGATGCTTTCATGAGTGAGAATGGGTATTCAAGAACCACTTCAGACCATTGTGTGTTTGTGAAGAAATATAAAGATGGTAATTTTATTATTCTCTTGCTTTACGTTGATGATATGCTTATTGTGGGCCAAGACACGAGTAAGATTAGCAAGTTGAAGTCAGAGTTGAGTAAGTCCTTTGCCATGAAGGATTTGGGTCCAGCAAAGCAAATTCTTGGGATGAGAATTGTTCGTGACAGATCACATGGGCTGATTTGGTTATCTCAAGAGAATTATATTAAAAAGGTTCTTGAGAGGTTCAATATGGACAAAGCAAAGCCTGTTAATTGTCCACTTGCAGGCCACTTCAAACTAAGCTCAAGTCAGTGTCCTACAAGTGATGAAAAGAGAAATGAGATGCAGAAAATTCCCTATGCTTCAGCAGTTGGTTCTTTGATGTACGCCATGGTTTGTACTCGACCGGATATTGCTCACGCAGTTGGGGTTGTCAGTCGATTTTTGTCTAATCCAGGGAAAGAACACTGGGCAGCAGTGAAATGGATTATGAGGTATCTTCAGGGCACTTCAAAGATGAGTTTGTGTTTTGGTAAAGGCGAGCCTATTCTTGATGGGTTCACAGATTCTGATATGGCTGGTGATGTTGATAGTCGAAAATCTACTTCTGGTTATTTGATTACTTTTGCAGGGGGAGCAGTGGCATGGCAATCAAGATTACAGAAATGTGTTGCTCTCTCCACCACAGAAGCTGAGTTCATCGCCATCACTGAAGCTTGCAAAGAATTATTGTGGTTGAAGGAATTCTTACAAGAGTTGGGTTTGAAACAAGAAAGGTATGTCCTTCATTGTGATAGTCAGAGTGCAATGCACTTGAGCAAGAATTCTTCATTTCATTCGAGATCGAAACATATTGATGTTAGATATCATTGGATTCGTGATGTCTTGAATGATAAGTTGTTACAACTTGAAAAAATTCACACTGATGATAACACTTCGGATATGTTAACTAAGGCATTGACTAAGGACAAGCATGAGAAGTGTCGACTTTTGGCGGGAATGGTCGAATCCTCCACATAAGTCGGGAGGGGGAGAATTGTTGGGTTTCCCTCCTTAGTGGGACTCATCAATTTGCTAATTTTTTGGTGGCTTACCCGTGTAGGACTCTTATCCAAGACTTGGTTTGGAGTCTTCTAGTTAAAAAGGAATTTGGCAGCCACCAAAGAATATAAGTTTTGTCCTTTTCTTTGGTTCATCTATTCTCTGTTGGTTTGGCAAGAAGACATATTTTTCGGCAGTCTTTGGTTCAACAAAAATTCAGCCTTCTTCTTCTCCTTTTTGGTGCCAGAAAAATCTGCAAATTTGTTCTTCAAGTGGGTAACATTTCTTCACTTGATATTTGGGTTTCTTGCGGTTTGTTCTTGGAGATTTGGTTCACTTATTTTGTGAGGTATTTTCCTCTTGTGATTTACACCTTGGTGTGTTTGTAAGGCTTATGCCTTTTGACCACTTTGTAATCTGATTTGGTGATAGTGGAAGAAACTGACCTACCGGTCGTCGTGGATGTACCTCAAGTTATTTGAGGGAACCACGTAAATCTTGTGTGTTTATTTATTTTCTGTTATTTTATTTATATTGCTTCTATTGATTTACACTTGTGGGAAAGCCTATTTTCCCAACACAATTATCGTTGGATTGTCAAAGAATTATTGTTGGATTCTCAAAGATTAGTGAGTGACAAGACTTTTGTTCTCAAAGATTCACCAATATCAACAAGTCGTGTTATGTGAAATCCAAAGGGAAAATTTTGGGTTAGTGCATATCAACTATTTTCCATGTTTTTGAAGGTGCCCGTAAGTATGAGTTATAATATATATCTAAAGACGCCAAAAATATTTTATGTTCATTCAATGATCAATTTTTGTACTACTTTTTCTAAAATGTATTGGTTCACTTATAATTGGAGGACATACATTAGCATTTTTTTCACCTTGAATGTCCCAAGAACATCAAAAACAATGGTTACAACATGTATTTTAATTTTTTTTCCAAATTGGAGTGTGAAAGTTGTAGATGCTTTTTCCTTCTCTCTTTTGGAGTAGATTAAAATGAGGTAAGAATATAACTATCACTAGATTGAAGAAAATTTGGTGCACTCTAGCCTTTATATATTTCGGAGTGCCAAACCCCAAGACATAAAAGAAAACACTTTTAATATGCAATTGGAGAAATTTAAGAAAATATGATATATTACTAATATTGTTCTTTTTTCAAATGAACTAAAAAGGTATTGATATTTATTTGTATGAAACCTTTTTTCCAAATATTTTTATTGTGATAGAGGTGCAGTGTTCTCTCAACAGCACATGAAAGTGTGAATTTCTCCGTAAGCTGTAAAATGCCAATCGAAAATGGTGAAGAGAAGATGTGAAAGCCAATGAGAACGTTGTACATATTTGTTAGACGAGAACATGGTTGGTTGGTTGGTCGAAACAATAAAGACTCAACAGCCGATGGAAGTCCTTGAGAACAAATAGAGAGTTCTTGATACGAAAAAGAATAAAGCTATCTAAGAACATCTCTAAAGGTACCCTTTAAAATAATTACTCAAAATATATTAAAATATTATATTTTTTTATTTTAAAGAGTCATTTTTATAAAATTGATCTAACCATATTCTCTATTTTAGCTAATTATTATTAATATTTTAAGTTAAATTATTGCATAACTTGACAAGTCATCAAAATACAAAATGACTATCACCTTGAAATATAAAAAGAATTATTTGACTCTTGAAATATAAAAAGAATTATTTGACTCTCTAAATATAAAATAACTAGCCAAATATAAAGAACCATTTAGTCAAAATGTAAAAAAGTTAGTTCTTTGGGGGTATAATTTGATGGTTTGTCTCTTTATTTTAGTTAATAAATGCCAAATAACCAGCTCGTTGAAGATGTTCTAAGAATTAAATGAATAATTACAATAACTTTTGGTGCAATGTAAGGATATTGTGGTCTAGGAAGAATAGTGTTTGCGTGAAGCACGTGTGTGTAGCAATTAATAAATTTGAAAATATTATTTTTTAGTATATTTATCTGAAAATAAATGTGTGTCGGTAAATAAATCCTGTTTTTGATGTTCGAAACTGCGTCATAGGCGGCGGCTTTCATATCGAGAGTGAGAGACAGAGAGAGAGACCGACTAAAAGAGTCAGCGACTTGGGTCCTTTAAGGTGCGTAGTGCGCACCTCTGTCTCTTTTTCTCTCCCTCGCACAGGCACACGAACCCAGTACACCCACACACTTCTGTGCATCTATCTGCACCGAAAGTGGACTCCTCTGTGCACTATATACGTCAATCGCTCTCTCCGCTCTCTACTTCGAATCTCTCTCTCTCTCTGCCTTATCGAATTCTGCCCTCAGAGATAGATAGAGACGAGTAAAAAAGACGAATGTTTTGCAAAAAGCCAATTCCAAACTAACGCCCCAAACCAGCCCACATAGCCAAAGCCAAGGTCTTCTCTCTCTCTTCAAATCTCTAATGCTAATATTCACAGAGCAAGAAAAGCATCAGCACCCCTTATTACTTTATTATATGCTTCTTATTCAAACTTGATACTATTTTGTGTGTGAACAATTGAGTAAGACAATGAATTCTGTGGCTCTTGATGATATAATCAACCGATTGCTTGAAGTTAGAGGCAGACCAGGGAAGCAAGTGCAGCTTTCGGAGTCTGAGATCAAGCAACTTTGTTTACAGTCCAGAGAAATCTTCTTGCAACAGCCTAATCTTTTGGAGCTTGAAGCACCCGTCAAGATTTCTGGTATTTTTCGATTAGGTGTTTGTTTTAATGTGATTATTGTGAAGTGGGTATTGTTTGATTGTGATTGACGTACAGGTGATGGTGTCCAGGTTTTTGGGTATTGGGCAAACTAATTTTTTTAATTCTGGAATGTACATTTGATTTCCTTTTAGTGCTGACTAGGGTGCATCTCGGCAGAATGGCCAGGTTAAGAGGGCAACACTAATTATATGATGTTCAACCTTAACTCTACCTCAACCCGAGTTACTCAACCCGAGAATTGTCCGAGTTTAATTTAGGTGGGCTCGGGTTGAATTTAGACTAATTTTGGATTAAAAATTGGGTTAGGCTTGGTTACTTAATTCGGATTAATTTTTTGAAGTGTAAATTTGATTTTTTCAAGTGTACATCTAATTTTTTCAAGTGATTTGCGATGAAGGACGAGGCGTAATTGATGAGAGAGAAAGGAGTGACGAGTGAGAGAGGGAGATTGAGAATCTAAGATGATTTAGATGAGTGACGATTGAGAAAGGAGGCTGAGAGAGGGAGGAGTGACAAGTGAAAGAAGGATTTGAGAGTGATGAAGGCGCAAGGGTGAAGACTTGAGGGGAAATGAAAATCTGGACTCTAAAGAATGAAAATAAATAATAACTCTAGTTAAATATATTTATATATTTATGTATATGCGGGTTCAACCATATTTAATAATCGGGTTCAACCCGATTTAATATTCGTGTACAACCCGACAATCCGAGGCTTGCCCAAATTCAATTCGGGTTGGAGTTTTTTTGTTCAGACCCAACCTAAGTATTAAAAATTTTAACCCAAGTCCTATTTTTTTCGGGTTGGGCTCGGGTTGAATTCGGGTTGGCCCGCTCAAGTTGCACCCTAGTGCTGACTTAATATTTGGATAATTTTGCCTCCTAAATCATAGTATTAGTACTGGTTAAATTGTGTATTCTTAAAGGAATTCTGTTGAATACTGATGTTTGATAATATACTAGATTGGCTGTTTTATTCGGATTTGGTATGCTCGTCGATGGTTTTTCATTTTGTAGGGATGCTATGTGATTTCATTCCCAAATATTTTTTTTGGGTGGAATTCACATTTTCTGATATTCAGCCTACATAAACTGGTAGCATTGCAGAATTATAAATGTCGAGTTTGACATTGACATGCTTATGGGGTCAAATTCATGGATGGAGAAAGTATGTTTGACATAATAGCTTGAGAGTTTGTGAAATGTGCTCTTGGTATGTTCCGAAATTAAGTTTATTTTGCCAATGGGTAGACAAGTTGCTTGATTTTATTTCCATTGTTGCCAAATATGGGGTCTGATTAGGAAAATCTAGGTTTGGCTTTATGTTTGTTCGTGTGCTCTGTGGCTCAAATTGATTACATGTGCTGAATGTAGGATATTTTTTTCTTGAATATTATACCAAGAAGTGCAACCAAATGTTGCAGAATGAAAGGCTGAATGTGATTGATGTTTGTGAAGGCTTCCTTTATTTAACATGTGACATACTGGCTGATGTAATTTGGAGTTATTTGCCTCGAGTGGTTTGATCATTTTCTTGTTAGAATTTGTTCTAATTCCTCGCTCGCGAAATGTTTTCTAGGCATTCATGTCCTAGTTTTACAGGTTGTTGGTGTTTCTATCTTTCTTTTTTTTTTGGTTGTTGTATTGATAAAGAATGTTTTGAGGTATTCATGTCTCTAGTTTTAGGCTTTTAGCAGAGTTTCTCTCTCTCATATTCATATTGCCCTCTGCCCATATGAGGCTTTTACTTGAGCCGATGACATCAATTGGAACACCTGGAGAAGTGATTCTTTTTGTTGGAGAAAAGATACATTTTTAATTCTTGATTTACTGTACTTTCTACCTACATTATACCTATTTATTCCGAAAGATAGCTTCTGAGGATAAGCTTTAGGTGTCTCTCCTAAGTTGAATGGTAATATACTTTTGACTTATCTGGAATGTATTTGTGACATGTTGGTGTGGGATGCAGTGATTAGAACTGTTTCATTGCTTTTATAGAATTAGGGGATATGATATGTGGACTTGTTGCTGGATGGGTTTATATAATGACATCAGAAGTAGGTTGATTTTTCCCCTAAAAATCTACCCAGTGAAATATCCTTAAGAGAGTGTAAAGTAAACCTAAAACTTTGCTCTCTTGATTGGATATGATGCCTAAACTGAAAACCAGTGAAGGGTATATGAATGATCTAAACCAGAAAAGGACACACACCAAACATGAGGTGCAATGTGATTGACCCACTAATAGAGCTATTGATATTCAGAGAAATGGTAGCAAACCAGAAACTTCAAAAAGAGTGCATGAGATGATGCTTCAAGCAAAACACAGACCCTAAACTGCTAATAAGGCTATTGAAATTTTCAGGATCAACTCAAGTAATGACCTTTATCTTTTTTTGTGTGATTATGATTAACCACTCACAAGCAGAAGATTTTGAAATTTGAATCATGTATTTAAAATGTTTGGTATTTTGTCCTGTTTGAGGTCATATTTGGTTTCATTACCAGTTTGCGATCGGCATTAATTGCTGTTGTTCCTCTAAGGCAACAGTGTACAAATGAAAAGTTTAGTTGATCATGCTGATTATTTTAAAAATGTGCAAATGAAAATAATTTCAAGGATATATTGCAAATCCAACGAAAACATAGTAATTAATTTGTAAATGAGAATGTTCTATAATGGATGTGCACTTAGGAATGATTTTGTACAGTGTATATCAGTTACATACCAGGGGCCTGTGTTTAAACTAGCTTCGTGTTGTCAAGAGTGGTTCAGTGCCTATGGTGGAAGCGTTATGAGATAATGTTAAAAGTCTTTTTTGGCTAGAAATTGGTGATTTTATACTACATCTACATGTGCTTCAACCTAGCAAATCTTTAGTTTTTCAAGTGTTGTATCCATTTTTGGTAGTTTACCTGTGTACTGTATGCAGTGTGCATTCATTATTAATGTACATTGTTGAAGTCATCAAAATTGCCCAATCTCCCCTAAAATGTATGAACTTGTTTACAGTTATGCTGGCACATTTTAAGTTTGCTGCTCCTTCACTGGTAAAGACTAGCCCAAATACATGAACTTGGAAGTTCCTTATGTGCACTTTCTAATGTAAATTTCTTTGCTAAATCGATCCCTCTGTTGATCTGTTCACATTGCCAGTCTTGATGTGTTCCCAGATTCAAAGTACCTTATGTAAAGCAGGTTTGCATTGATTTTTTCTGTGCCACGGAAGATGCTCTTCGGTGAATGTTGTATACTTGTATCATACAACTGAACTTCATTTTCTATGCCTCTCATTTTTTAATATTTGACATCATAGGGTAATAGCCAAGGACATTCATCTAGTTTATGCACAGAAGAGAATCATTGGACTTTCTTAAGGGCAACTTGTTGATTGACATTATTTCCTAAAATATAATGGATTTGTATTGTTCATCACTGCGAATTTATTTGCTTTTATTGTTTTATGTTTTTTCTCGAGATAATCTGAGTACCAATGTAATATTTATTTATTCTTTTGAATATTTTGACAGGAGATATTCATGGTCAGTATTCTGATTTGCTGAGGCTTTTTGAATATGGCGGGTTTCCTCCTGATTCCAATTATTTATTCTTGGGGGATTATGTAGATCGTGGGAAGCAAGGTCTGGAAACGATATGCCTTCTCCTTGCATATAAGATAAAATATCCTGGAAACTTTTTCCTTCTGAGGGGCAATCATGAATGTGCTTCTGTTAACCGTATATATGGATTTTATGATGAGTGTAAGCGAAGATTTAATGTTAGACTGTGGAGAGTATTCACTGATTGTTTTAATTGCCTGCCTGTGGCGGCGCTGATTGATGAAAAGATACTCTGTATGCATGGGGGACTTTCTCCTGATCTGCATAATTTGGATCAGATAAGAAATCTGCCACGTCCAACTGATGTTCCGGAAACTGGTTTACTTTGTGATCTACTATGGTCAGATCCTAGTAAAGATGTTAAAGAGTGGGGAATGAATGATAGGGGAGTCTCCTATACATTTGGAGCTGATAAGGTGACAGAGTTTCTTCAGAAGCATGATCTTGACCTTATTTGCCGTGCCCACCAGGTTCGAACAGAAATTATTGTTTTCTTTTTTCCCCTACTATTGAGTATCTCAGTGTGTCTCTTTGGTTATTTCCTTGCAGGTTGTGGAAAATGGATATGATTTTTTTGCTGATAGGCAGCTTGTAACTATATTTTCAGCTCCAAATTACTGTGGAGAGTTTGACAATGCCGGTGCCTTGATGAGTGTGGATGAGACTTTGATGTGCTCTTTCCAAATAATAAAGCCCGCAGAAAAGAAGCCGAAGTTTGGCTTTGGGAGCACAACTACTAGAAAAACCAAGGTTTATCATCCCTCACCAAAAACATCTGTTTGTCCTAGTTGCAGCATATAGTATATTGGATCCTAGGACATTTATATTTTGTCTATAACTGATATAGGACATAATTGGTTTAAAACATAGATTGGATATAATATTTTCAAAGAGAAGTGAAACTAGAGTATACTAAACATGACAAAAGAAAATTTGGAAGAACTAATGGAAGGGTAGATCAGTTTATGAATTAGAAATTCTTCATTACGAGAAACTCTTAAATTTATATAATGTGCCTTTTAGGGTATTCATAGCCTTCTTTAACTTACAATGATGTCCTATTTCGTTCATCTGATGTTGGGCATGTACAGTCCATATCCCTCATCCGTACGTCCATTGTCATGCCCATGCACATATGGTGACTTGGTTGTATGTGGAGGAGCTCAAGTTTTCTTCCAATTCTTAGCCTTGACATTTCATGCTCGTTCTTTTCTGTTCCTTTTAAATGTAATCAAATATGTTTAAATCAATCAGGCAAATCTAGTTCATCATGCTTCTTCTTCCTCTCTTGATTTTGGTCTTTCGTGAAACATCCTTCTGGGTTCTTTGGATTGTCGCTCGCAATCTGTTATAGCCATTCAGATTGGATGTATTGTCTCACATGCTTGGCTATTTCACCATTATCGCATGAAGAATCGTTGAATCATTTTATATTACAGAATGGAACCTACGGATGTGGGTTTGCACAGCTACGTTACATTGGTACATACATATTGCATCATATTTATGCTTTATAGAGATCTTGACGTCGTCCTTTCCCTGGTAGATATTATGTTGACTGTCACCGATATAGAATTGTATATCTCTTCTTCTGTTGAAATTTTAATAGTAAATTTCTCTCGTGCAGTCATTTCTTGGTGCAAAAATAGGATAAATTTCTTCATGTGGTCAACATATCTACGGAAAATGAGATGCTTCATCGTGGTGTTCACAGCAAAAGGGTGGATATCGGAGAAACCAGAGGTTAACTTAGTATGAGAGAAAGCAATTTACTGCAAGTACAGTGCAGAAAGAAGAATATAGAAGATTTCCTTCCTCTGATATCGACCAGAAGGTTGTAATAATTTCTCTCTCCTTTATATGTATAATACGCGCAGCTATGGTTAGGGGCTGGGATTATTCTCCCCCAACAATTGCCAACCTTGTCACATTGTAATTAACAATCGGTGTGGTGCAGTCTGGAAATTAGTGGGAATCAAATCAACCGGGAGATGTTCCTTGTTCAACTGTGAGTCCATTTCTTTTTTCAAATACTACCTGTTTGAGAAAACTGAACACTGCTATAGATTTCATGACGACTCTGCTTTGTGCCTGGCTCATCCTTCGTATTGAACAAAAATGATCATCATCAGAGACCCAATCAACATTAGAAATCAACTTAGCCAGTTGCCCGAAACTCTACGATGTATTTTGGCGAATCAAAACATGAACTGCAACACCTTTCTATTGCTGGTTTGATGTTAGTCTTGCTATACGAAAATATTGTTGGATCTTCAAAACCTCCCAATCTTGCTGATCCAATTTCTATAGTTCCATTTCAAGATTGTCCATTCAGACGAAACTGCTCTACTTCCATGTACACTCCACTTTCCATAAGCAAGCTCAAGCTTCTCTACGTCAATGCTCACTCCTCACAGTTCTTCGGAATTTTGAATAATCTTCAACATCGATTTACTCCCAGCAAGACAGATCAATAACAGATTGCTTCTTCCAAAGAATGCCCCATTTGTTTTGCTTTCAACAATCCAATAAGTTCCTAGGGTGAAAAACCACTTGTCATTCCACCTTACGGAACCAACATTTTAGATGCTATTTCACATAAAAAAAAGTTTCTCTGTTCCTATGATCTCTATGGCAAAGTCTCGTATATGATTATCTGGACCAATAGTTTTGCCAATTGTTCATCAATTCTTGTCCGTTGTAAGGTTTAAAGGTGTTAATCGAGTCGAGCATTCTGAATTTGGATACGTTTAGGCTTGCCTAGAGTTTTTAAGAGTTGGTTAAGCTTGGATATCGGGCCTAAATATTTGTTCAAGTTTGGTCTCGAATACTAAGCCTAAATCTCTGTTATGACAAGAATGATTGTTTGAGGACCACTTGTAAGGACTTGCCTTATTGTCGTGTGCTGGCCCAAATTGAAGCCTTTTATGACACTGAGTGTCTTCAAAAAAAAAAAAAAATGACTTCAATGATATGGGCAAGACTCAATTTTGGGTCGTCGTTTAAAGTGGACCACATATTTGGAGTGACGATAAGTAATTATTCACTTACATGATATGTTGCAAATTTGAGCTCGGAAATTATTATTCCTGAAATTAGGTTAAGATTGTTTATCAATTATTTTTAAGAAAAATATAAGAGGTAGTTCGAGTGATAATAAAAATGAATCGTAAATTGAGACACGTTGAATTAGAAATTTTGGCAATCCCACTATAGATGGAAGCTTTGGATACTGCGGTATGGCCAAAGACCTTTATTAAATTGCATTGGACCACAAGTCTCTTTCTGGCATGGTACAATGACGTTGTTACATTGACATCACCGTTGGATCCCCCACATTATTAAATTGTATTGGACCACAAGTCTCTTTCTGGTATGGTTGGTACATTGCGATCACCATTGGATCCCCCACATTAGTGGGTAAAAGTCTTTTTTCGAATTGATCAGTTGATTTGAGTCGAGTATTGAGTAATTTCGGGAAAGATTATGGTACCCAAGGTGGTGTAGCATCAAAATTTATAATTTTTTTTAAAAGTATGATTGATCATAAAAATATTATAATTTTTAAAGATTATTATAACTTGTAAATCATTCAATTCATTCATGATGGCCTCAAATGACCCTGGCCTTGCTATCCAAAGCACTTGTATTTCAAGTGTACACACAAAGAGGAAATCGTATTTGAACACATTCCCTGGACTATAGTCTGATTGTGATATATATTCATCCAATTTCGTACGCTATAATCTAGCGACAAATAAACGCGTAGACATGTGTGCAAGTACCATGCATAGACAAAGAAATTCTTCGGCGTAATTTGGGAGGGGTGCGGGGTCTTTCTTTCTTCTCCAATTATATTTTCTCTTATGCCCTTAGAACAAGACTGTTTGAGAGAGAGAGAGAGAGAGAGAGAGAGAGAGAGGGGGGGGGGGAATCTTCCTCTCGTGAACAACAGCCAAACGACCTTGACATGGCTTTCAATGCAAGCCATAAATGTTGGGACCTAACATTAACATTCACATGGCATTTCTTTGTCAATAGCAATAGTCAATCTTTGTTTTTTTTTCTGAACGTTCACACGCTTGTGCGCGCCATTTTTGTATATTTTGATTAATTTCATCACCGGTCCAATTAAAGGTATACTATTCACATCAGGATTAATAATATAATTTAAAGAGTTTAAATTTAATTAAACTCTTTGAAATCGGGCAATTTTTTTGGTTTCACAATCAAGTTGTTCAGATCAGTTTATGAACAACTTGATTATTTTTCTTCTCAATCAGGTCAAAAGCAGACTATTTATGTTGGGATTAGTATATTCACGAGGGATAAATTTTTCATAATTTTGTTTTAAAAGATTGTCAAGATTTAAATTTAAGACTCGCGAAAGTAAAATTAATTTTTATTCACGAGGTTTTCCCCGGCATCCGTTGACCGACCGACCTCAAGAGGCAAGCAAAGATATACTCGATGTGAACTCAGTTGGGTCCTACACGGTTTCGAATCTGAAACCAACTGCAATTCAAGTCGTTGCCCCTCAAAACTTTGACTGTCCAATATGGTTAGGATATCAGAAAAAATATCGCTACCGTACTGAAATAATGCATCGCCAAATTTTTATTTTTTTATTTTTTTAATTAATGGTCAAGAGTGTTTGAATCAATTTACACACATCTTAATTAATTTTTTTTTAGTTTAGTCAATGTAGGTGCCGAGATTAGGATATACATAAGAAATAAATCTCTCATGACCTGACTCTAAAGAGTTTCAAGATTCGAATTCAAAATACCTGAATTTACAACTTATTCTTATTACCATTTAAACAATCCCTTAAAATTGCCAAAAATTCTATTGATTCACTTCTGGTCATTCTCACGAAAATAATGAAGTAATATGAAATAATAAAATAAGAAAACTTTAAATGGGTTATGATCTTATAGAAAAGAAAAATAAAAATTTGTAACATAATGCAATGAGAGCACAAGTCCTAAAATTATAGAGTTGCATGTAATTTTATTTGAACGGGGGTGTTATCTTTTCATGTTTTTTATAACTACCTTCTAAATTCAAAGGTATCTCAAACAGTAATAGAGGGGAGTTATACTTGAATATGTTAGCTCAGTGTGGATGATCTGTCTTTGATAGGACTGAGGAAGAAATTAGTTGAGATATACATAACTTAGTCCGGATACCCTTGATCCTTGAAAAAAAAAACTAACTTCTTCTCATTATTAATGTAATACTAGCAAAACTCTTGTGATGTATATGATTTATAGATTTACTAGTCATAACTCGTGCTTAAAGGTACAATAAAACATTATATCCCACTATATTAAATAGCAATTTTCTTTCCTTCATTTATTTGATTACATCATTTAAATTTTATTTTTATCCATTATTTTTAAAAAAATATCAACAATTTTTTTTTCTCAACAGTGTATGAATAATGTCTGAAATAAAAATTATGTGAAACTATAAATTAATTCAAAGAGTAATACTAGATGAATTTAAAAATTAGAGTTGATAATTTCAACCATTGAATAAATAGTGAGTCAAAAAAAATAGGTAATGGGTCCGAATAAATGTTAAAATTTACAGTGAAATCAATAATTGTAATTATCAAGTCTATTTGTAAAGTCTATCTAATATTACTCTTAATCACATATTAAATAATTAAATATGTGATAAAAATGAGTGATATGATATTTTTTAGGAGAAAAATATATAAGAGATAAAAATTCCAAGTTGTTTGATATTTTATTATATAAATATTCTTTTTGTTTTTTGTTTCCCATTCAGCTCTCCCTCTATCCCATCCTATCAGACCCTACTCCACCCTTTCTTGGGCTATAGTCCCCACCCCACCCCACAACAACAACTTTGAACTCAAAACATTTGTAAGTTTATTAATTTTGCTATAAGGTGTGAATGCTTCAATACTTGTTCATATTAAGAAAAAAAAAAATATATGATACTCACTGAATTTCTTATTTCAGTGGTTATGCATTTAGAATGAGAAACAGGTGCATCAACTTGCCCTAGAATTCAAATGCTTATATATGATAACGGTCAAATTTCACTGCTCATGCTTGAGCTCAATGTTCTTCGTTCTCATCATTTTTCCTCCACTTTGACACTATTATATCAGTATCTACAAAAAAAGGCTCATGATTATCCCTCTCTTCATTTTCGCCGCATTCAACTACCTACACGTCTCTTAGGTTTTAAACTTGTCTCTACTTCAAAAGTAAGGCTCTGTTGAAGTAGATCATGAATTATCCTATTGTGTATAGTATTAATTGAACAACTTTGTGTGGGGGTAAGTGAACGACTTGTGTATTAATTGTGCATCTTTGTGTTAAAAAAAAATTGAACCACTCATGTATCCCACATCGGTTGCACAACTTGTGTCTCTGAGGTTTCTAAACTAAGCATTGATAGTGTACTATTTATATTTGAAATAATAATCTATTTTTCTTTTTTTTTCCCCCTTCAATTACACAATTTAAAAGTAAAGTGAACAGAAAAAAAATAAGGGAAAAATAGGGGTGAATTACTGAGATTATCTAGAATTGAGGAGTGTGCTGATTGAATTGTTTGATATTAGAGATAATATAAAGAAGATGATATTTTGGAACATAAGCAAAAATTAGAATGAATTTTGTATAATTAGATCAAAGTATATGAAAATTGAGTCAATTTTGACCGTTGTCATGTTTTTATAAATTAAATATTTAATTTTTTAAGTGTGATATTAAATAGATTTTTCGATACATTTAGCATGGTTGTTACAAGGAGCCAAAAAAAATAAAAAAATATAAAAATACATTTATATCATTTTAAATAAATTATAAAAAGGATTGATCAAATTGTGGCGCAGGATTGAGAAATAGTTGGCATGCTGCAATCTAAGACCACCTAAAATTGAACTGAACTATTTAGCATTTGTATTCTGACTTCTGACTTCTGACTTCTAGTCTGATCTCTTGAAGTCAACTAACAATGGTTGCTCATTCTTAGCCAGTAAACAAAAAAAAAAAAAAAACATTTGGCTGCTCACCATTCATGTTTTTCTCAAACATGTATTTATTGTAAAAATAAAAAGATGTGCTTCGAATATCATACGATTCCACTTGATTGATTGACACCCCTATTTCTTATTGAAAACTCAAAAGCCAATGGAGCATTAAGATCTTATCCTTTATCTTGAGTCCTTTAAAACAAAGTATTATGATGGTCCATGCGAATGTTTACATAGTGTATTTTTTACCAAGTTATTTGAATGTTAAGGTAAAAAAATTCAACTACTCACAAATATATGGCAGGAGTAACTATGACTCTCTGAAGTAGCTAAATGCCTCGCCATCTAATTAGTAACATGCATGAATAGATTAACAAGATTTTCATCGTCTCCTATTTATTATCCAACAAAACCATAGCCAAGTGAACGATTTTGAATCAGGGGAAAAGAAAAACT